TACATACATACATACATGCATACATACATACATACATACATACATACATACACACACACACATACATACATACATACATACATACATACATACATACATACATATCTCTATATATATAGGTATATACACATACGTTCTTATATATATACACATATACATATATACGTGTGTACACACCCATGTATGTATGTTTGTATGTATGCATGCATGCATGCATGCATGTATGTATGTATGCATATATGTATGTATGTATGTATGTATGTATGTATGTATGTATGTATGTATGTAGGTATGTATTATAAGTAGATACATGTATGCATTTCTGCATACAAACATACATCTACATACACCTACATACGGGTATAGCCAGGACCCCAGGTAAGGGGACACAGTTACAGTTAGTAGTAGGGCCCAGGAGCCCCTAAAATGGCCAGAATCACTAAACCAAGTCTGCCGCAGCTCGTGGTTTTCGGGTGATGGCAGTTCCGGTTAGTGGAACTGGGCCTGGAGGGCGCCCCCCCAGTCCACATCATTAATCCGGGTCCCACTAAACGCAGTTTTGCCAACGCCCGATATATGCATATACACATACATACCTGCACATACATACATGCATGTATGCATGCATACATAGACACATGCACACATACACACATACATACAAACACACATACATACATACATGCATGCATGCATGCATGCATGCATGCATACATACATACACGCATCCATACATGCATGCATGCAGGCATACATACATACATCCATATACACAAACATACATACATACACGCATGCTCACGCATGCATGCATTCATGCGTACATGCATGCATACATTCGTACTTGCATGCATGCATACATACATGCATGTATGCGTGTACTACCATACATACATGCACAACTACATACATACTTACATACATGCACACAGACATACGCACACACATACATGCGTATACACACACTCAATCATAGATGTGTACATATCTACAAACATTCATACATGCATGTGTATATTCATGTATACATGCATACAGCCATACATACCTACAAGCATCCATACACGCATGCCCGCACATTTACAGACATGCGTACATGCATGCATGCGTCAATGCATGCGTGCATACATGCATACACACATACATGCATGCACACATACACACATACAAACATCAACGACTTTACACATACGCACCTACATACATACGTACATCAATCCGTACATACGTACAAACATATCTATACACACATACACACATACGTTCATACACTCATACATTCACGTATTTACATGTTGATGCGTATATGTATGTGTAGATGTGTATGTATGCATGCGTGCATGTATGCATGTATGTATGGATGCGTCATGAATGAATGAATGCATGACTTAACGCGTGTGTGTGTGCATGCATGCATGCACGTCATACCAATTTGTGTTTGCGTGCATGCATGGTTGCATGCATGCATGTGTGTAAAAGTCAGTGTGTATGTATGTTTGGTTGCATGCATGCATGCAGGTATGTATGTATATGTGTACATGTGTGTATGTATGTATGAATGTGTGTAGTTATGTACGCACGCACGTAGGTCGGTAGGTAGGTAGGTAGGTAGGTAGGTAGGTAGGTAGGTAAGTAAGTAGGTATGCATGTCTGTGGGTATGTATGTATGTATGTATGTATGTATGTATGTATGTATGTATGTATGTATGTATGTATGTATGTATGTATGTATGTATGTATGTATGTATGTATGTATGTATTGGAATATGCCACGAACAAGCCTGGGACCGGGCCCCGGGCACACATGGCCGCCCCAGGGGCCGCAGGGGCGCTTCGTGGCTCCCAAAGCGGCTTCGTGGGCGCACAGATGGCCCACAAGTTGGAACCACAGGCTACTCCAGATTTCGTAATACAGGGAGGGAGGTCTCATTTCGGGGGGGGGTCTCTTCCAGGCTATCTTGGAGGGCCTGGGGGGTCCGGGGACGACGTTTTGGAGGGTTCTCCCACGGGGGAGGTCTGAAATGGCTTGTCTTGGAGGGTCCAGACCCCCTCCCTTTTATGACGAAATCTGGAGTACCAGTCCAGGTCCATCACACCCCGAGAGCGCCGAAGATGGCTTCTGAAGGGCCTCCAAAGACTTCCAGGCTGCGCCGGGACGGCCCCTTGAAGGCTTGAGTGGGCGCCCGAAGCCCCAGACGAGTGCCCCGAGAGGTAAACTTTTTGTTGAGTGTTTTCGGGACCCCCTGCCTTTCAACATGTTGACAATCCACGACGACCCAAGAGGCCCAAGCGGCCTCCAATACCGACTCAGGACGGGCCAAGCGGCCCCCAGGAGGGCCCCAGGACGGCCTAGCAGGGCTCCATGACTCCCACAGGGGCGTCCAAGACGGCCCAAGAGGCCTTGAAGACGGCCCCAAGATGCTCTCAAGAGGTGGAGCATGGACCGACAATCAAATCGTTCGCCCCGAGAGGCTCCCGGGAGGCTTCAACAAGGCGCCAGGGCGGCCCGAGGCAAGCTCCAGTGGACGCCCGAGGCTCGCTGGCCACAGGTCCCGCCGTGCCCCGCGCAGTCGGGTTGCCGCCCGCACGCACGGCCGGCCACTCCGCAGGAGGCGCGCGCCGTGACGTTCTTGTTCGAGGAGGCAGCCGCGCGTCCTCGCCGCCGCCGCCGCCGTCTCTGTCGGGGGGGGGCCGAGGAGAAGGAGGAGGAGGAGGAGGAGGAGG